CCAACACGCTCTTCTCAAAGTGCAAACGATATCAACCAGAGGGCCTCTAAAGTGTCTGGATAGTCTATTTTGATAGTCAATCTATTGACATCCTCTCTTTGAAGCTGTTGAGTGGACAGCACTCTCACTTCTAAGCAAGAAGAATCACTGTGTGTGGAGTAAAACAATATCTGAATTCTGAACATTAAAGCACCTTGGGTGACCTTCTGTAAAAATGCGCTATATAAATTAAGATGACTTACTTACTTACTCAAGTTTTAAAGGCATTCATTTCAACACCAAATTAATAGTTAGTATAGTAAGTGCAAGAGTTGGATTTTCCCATGTTGGTCCTGTTGGATCTCAGTGCAGCCTTTGACACTGTTGATCACGAGATCCTCCTGCAGAGACTTGAGGGATGGGTTGGCATCACTGGCACTGCCTTAAGTTGGTGCAAGTCCTACTTAGAGGACAGACAGTACTTTGTTGAGATTGGGGACTGTGTCTCAGACCAGGTGGCCTTAACAAGTGGAGTGCCCCAAGGTTCAATTCTGGGCCCCCTTCTTTTTAATATTTATATGTTGCCACTAGGTCAATTGATTCGAGGCCAAAATGTATCCTATCACAATTATGCAGATGATACGCAGATTTATGTCTCACTGGCTGCGGGTGAACTTGGGCCAATTGAGTCACTCTGTCACTGCATCAAAACAGATTGACTCATGGATGCAAAATAACTTTCTTCAGTTAAATTCAAACAAAACTGAAGTTATTGTGTTTGGCCCACAGAAACTCAGAGAAAGTGTGTGCAGCCTTCTCCAATCCTTTTCTCTGTCTCCAAATTACAAAAATCAGGTTAGAAATCTAGGAGTAATCATGGACTCGGACCTCAATTTCAATAGTCACATTAAATCTGTAACTTCAGCGGCTTTCTACCATCTAAAGAACATTTCTAGAATTAGGGGCATAATGTCTAAGGCAGACTTAGAGATTGTCATTCATGCCTTTGTTTCTAGTAGGTTTCTAGACTACTGCAACGGCCTTCTCTCTGGTCTGTCCAAAGGAGCTGTAAAGCAGCTACAGTATATTCAAAATGCTGCAGCTCGAGTCCTGACAGGAACCAGGAAGTACGACCACATTAGTCCAGTCCTCAGGTCTCTGCACTGGCTTCCTGTGGCTCAGAGAATAGATTTTAAATCAGCTCTCCTTGTATATAAGTCTCTCTGTGGTCTCGCACCAAAATACATATGCAACATGCTGGTACCGTACGAGCCCGCTCGAACTCTGAGGAGCGCGGGGACTGGCCTCCTGTTGGTGCCCAGAGTCGGGACTAGACATGGGGAGGCAGCGTTCCAGACCTATGCACCTAGAATCTGGAACAGTCTTCCCGAAGGTGTGAGACAGGCTCCTTCTTTAGCTATGTTCAAGTCCAGGCTGAAAACGGTTCTTTTCAGCCGTGCCTACGACTGATCATCAAGAAATCATATCATAAATTTATTTTTGATGTATATATTTATTCATTTTCTTAAACTGTCTTTTGTATTTGTTTTTACAGTCTGTTTTTAAATTGTTTATAAATTGCTTTTAAATGTTGCCGATGTGAAGCACTTTGGGTTGCATTCTGTATGAACTGTGCTATAGAAATAAACATTGATTGATTGATTGATGCTGGGTCAGTGCCTTGAGGCTGCTTTCCTTTTCTTCAGCCCCCTCTAATCAGATCAATTCACCATTCCATTGAACGGTGTATAATAAGGTGATTATGCATAGGCCCGCTGCTGCAGATCGCTGCACACATAAGGCTTTTTAGCCCTGATAGAAGTTGACGTCGCATTTCCCTTAAATATTCCATGGCTGTCCTTCGTCTCAATGCAGGCTCTCCCAGATTCATTTGTCGTTTCGGCTGTAATTACTGTCAGACTGGAGGAGGAGGATATGAAACCCGGCCAGAAGGAACATACCGAGAATGGGCAGATGTGTGACTTTATGATTTGATTAAAGTCAACCTCAGCAACTACTGTATTTATTTGCATCCGATACTCAAGCTGACTTTATCTATGAAAAAGGTTCATTGAATGTTCAATCAAACTAATAGCATAAGCCATTCAACAAGATAAAAGATAATGGTGTTTAGTTGTAGGAGGTACCCGCCTCACCTGCTTCACCTGTTTGCCTCATTGTCTTGTCAGGAATGTTCCATTGTACTTATTGCCTGTCCAATCTATATCACACATGAGAGTACCCTACGTCTCAGTTCTCAGGTCAGTAATTCATTCAACAGAGGATAGAGTCAGGTGTAATAGTATAAAGATAATAATAATACATTGGTTTTATATAGCGTTTTTCTGGACACTCCTATGACACTTCACACGTCAGTGGAACACGCTGGCAGTTTCAAGGCAACCAGTATGACCACCACCAACCATTCACACACACACACAAGACTTGTTCTAGGCAATGTGGGTGAAGTGTCTTGCTAAAGGACACTATACAGCTGCAGCCGCCCGACTGTGGCACCTGGTGTTCCCAGATGTCTCCATCATAGTACTTACCAGGCCCTGCCCTGGTTAGCTTCAGATGTCTGACAGGATCTGGCTTTCACTTGCAGATATGGCCATTATGGCTAACTCCTCTCTTTACGATAGGACCAAAGCTCAGCAGCTTAAAAGAAATAAAGAATGTTATACCTCTCGTAAAATGTAAACAAATCAGACCACAAGCATGTAATAAAAATCCCTGTGAGTCAATCCAATTGTCTGTTTGAGGGTGGTAGTCTCTCTCTCTTTTTCACTTTTCTGTCCAAAAAAGTAATTCTAAAGATGTGACAGAGGCCAGAATCATCCATCTTTAAATCTGACTCACACAAGAATACATTGTAAATGGCAATCAACATTTTAATATGTTTTCCATACAACTTAAACTGTATTTTCAAATGCCATGCTTATATTCAATTTCTTTACTCTTTCACACCACCACCATTAAAGAACAGGACAGAACCACGGATGGATTATATTATAGAACGCACATGGCAGATAGAATATGTGCAACTCAAGGATGCATTTCTGCTGCGTTGGCCCTGGGATGAAGAGGGACAGTGCGATGCCAGTCTGCAGTTTTTACCCTTCTTCCCACAGACAGGAGTGGAGGCACACGCGGGACACAGGATGAAGGAAGTGCTGATACCAAACGACTCAGAGCAGAAACACCTGCTTTAATGGGCTGTGCTGCAAGATTAGCCAAAATCGAATTGCCAATTTGACTCACATTATTGCAAAGACTACAGGTATTTACAAGTGGACTTCTCAATTCTGGTCCGGAGCCTGTCACTTTTTTGTGCCATTTAAATGTTATTGTACTGTAAAAAGTTATAACCAATATTTTCTGCAGACTTTTGCCAAAATGTTTAATTAGTAGCTGTTGATGTTGCCTAAGTCCATGTAATTTTAATGCTTCTAATCTAATTTTAACAAACGGACTTTTGATGTTTAAGGATTCTCCCATTCCTTGGTCTCATGAAGCATGTAGTATTATCATTACGTAAATCTACTTGGATCCAAATAAAATGGACCTCAGTATTTGCTAATGCATACAGCCTTGCTCTGATTTTTCCTCCTTAATATGTTTTTTACTCCAAGCAGCATGAACTTTTTATGATAACTATGATGACTACCTCATGTGATCAACAAAGCATCTCTTGATTTGAATATATTTTGTTTATTTTATTATTTTGTTTTTGTTGAAAGTCAGAAAATCCCTGTCAGATAATGTTGTGTCAAATCTCTCATCTTGTATTCTTAGTGCAAAGCTATGTGACCAGAGGAGGGAACTTTCTATTGGTTTTCTATCAGTGGTCATTTCTGTGCATGTTGTCGGAGTCACACTATTGTCACTTCATGTCGAATTTCCATTATTGACTAAAAGTCTCGTCCATTATGTGATCTCCACCAGAGAGCCGCAGTGCATAACATATCTATACGTTTATTCAGAGCTGTGCACAGGCTTTAAAGAATTTTAATTCGAATGTCAATATGTCCGCTATACCTGCAAGTCACCAAGGAAACTTTAGTAATGCATAATGTTCCACACTGTGTCATTTTGTAAAGCATTTAAATTAGCCTAAGGCTAACTAATGCATCAAATGAAAACATTTATGTTCCACTTTTACATGGTCCCTTTTTAGATAAATCAAATAAAAATAAAAATGAAATGATCACCGATGGCTTTGAGCACATTATCACTTCAGGGTTGTGAGTTATTATTATTTCCATTTTCCACCTGCTAAAGCTGGAAAGAAAGTCAAAAATATAAGCAGATAAGACAACAAGCCTGGTCTTGCATTCTAATCTCTCCCTGTGTAAGTCAAATCATAATTGTTTTATTATGCTTCTACTTATCTAAACTGCAGATTAGATGTTTTGTTATTTTCAAGGATTCCATGTTACTTTAATACTGCTTTTGTGGTGCATCCAAAAAATGCATTTCCTGCACTCACTCGAATGCATTAGTAATCATCACTGTTATTTGGTTGATGCTCTTGGTTGAGTGATTCTCAGTGGTTTCATCGTGGAGGCTGTGTCCTATCACACACCATTAACTGAATTGTAAAATGAATATTACATACATTTTAACTAGTTACAAAAGTTATTATACTATTCTGTGACTAATTAAAACTGGTCACTATTAAGAATCTGAAAAACAATTCGATAATCATATAGTTAAACACAACCTGACCACATAAGAACAAACAAAAACTTATTTTATTTAACACGAAAAAATACTCAATAATCAAAGGGTGATCTGAAAAGGTGTGTCTTCTCTGTGTATCCTCTGTGTATGCTTTTATGTGAGGGCATGCCATAGTTTTGTTCCCGTGACTGCTGTTTACTCAGTGCAGCATGAAGAGAGTGACCTAACATTATGAGACTGCAGACCTGCAGACAGACAGCAGAGGGCGCTCACGTTCCATCTTTGGCACTTCCGCTCCACGTGAACACGTGAACGCCTTCTCCGCATGTGCGTCTATGAGCAGCAGTTCCCGTGTATTTACCATAGTATTTACACAGCTACTGTCTGGTTTATTCTTTAGTTATTTCATATTTTTGCACAGATCCTGATGATTGGTGACGCAATGGGTACGATAGAAGAACACGCGGATCTGGCCCCGGACTCAGACGAGGCCAGTGAAATGTCAGATGGAGAAGTGAGTTTTAATTAGCATTAGCATGCTAACAGGTTACTTGGAAAAAATGATAAATAATCACCGTTATGGGTCAAAGGAGAGGGACAGCAGTTCTTCCACCACTGTGCGCTCTGAGCAGGTGTATGTAAATACTGTAGTTGTAGTTAATATGATAAATATGGAGCCTGTAGTCTGTAAGAGCTCTAGTGAACAGTTTTCTGAGTCATATCAACTATCATCAAATGTATATGAATGTGATTAACTATGAAGGTAGAATACCAGGAAAATGTGGCATACTATTTAACGTTACATGGTTCAATACCTCTATTCATATGCTATATATTGAAAGCTCCAATAATAATTTCAACTGCATTCCTCTGAATAATGTGTATGCTTTGTTCTTTCAGCTCCAGGAAGCTTTTGCCAAAGGTCTGCTTAAACCTGGCATGAATGTATTGGTTGAGAAGACCAAAAAATTTACAAACAACGCGGTAAGTTTCATTTTCATACCAATTTCACTAGAGATGCATCAATCAGTCCAAAGGCACCAATACCAGTCCTCTGTTTAGATCATTAGAGTTAGTGTTAACCTTTTATTTTCTACAATTTCATGTAAGTGCTTCTTCATGTTTTGAGATTCAAACTTTTGGTCCCTTTCCTGAATTTCTCCTATGGGGGATCAATAATGTATCCATCTATGTTTTGCGGAAATCCTTGGTCAGAGGCTGTCACTGCTTTACAAAATGGATTGTAAACATCAATTCAGTCAAAAGACCAATTCTAGAGGTTTAAATAAAGTATAGAAAAGTATAAGTACATGAGTATTTTTCTAGGGCTGAAAAATTTAATTGCATTTATTGATTAAGAACCATGTGGATCTAGTTCTCTGAGCACATTTGACTATTCGCATCACGCAGAGCATTATTCTAACTATCAGAAATATTGGTATCGTCCTAAAATTGGAGGATTACTGTGAAGTTGTTTCTTATCTGTGGTTTATTCTTGACTCTGCTGTGAACAGGAGGGCCTCAGACAGAGCCTTGCAGAACTCCGCAGAGACCTGCCCTGGGTGGAGCGCTTGGACCTCACAAACCTGCCTGCTGAGGATCCTCTGGCCAAAGTGGAAGGACAAGAGAAGAAAGAATCAAATAAAGAAATCAATGCAGATGATGACTTTGAAAGAGAGATGTTTTTGTAAGTTTGAACTGGCATGTGTACATGGAAATAGGGGCATTTTTTATTATTTGGTCTGCCATAAGAAATTAAAACATGTGTAAAGTAAAGACTCAATAGTTAACACCTTTAGAATTTAGTCACTGTAAAATTATGTGTGAAAAAGTTCATTTTCCAGTGTTTTTAAATCAAAAGTCATACATTTAATCCTTCTCAAATGAGTTCAGCAGTTTCTAATGCACATTAACGTTGCAGTTATCGCCAGGCTCAGGCCACCGTACTGCAGGCCCTGCCACTTCTACACAAACACGGCATTTCCACTAAAAGGCCTGATGACTATTTCGCAGAGATGGCCAAGTCTGATCAACAAATGCAGAAGGCAAGTGCTGTCCTCATGTGTTCTGTTATATATGTTTTAAAAATAATGTATTTTATTTATGTGATTTTTTTATTTTTTATTGTTTATTTTTTTACAGATTCGAAAAAAGCTCATAGAAAAACAGACCATAATAGAACGGTCAGAAAAGGCTAAGCAGCTTCGTGAGCAAAGGAAGTTTGGCAAAAAGGTTGGTCAGAAAAGTAGTTGTAGTTTGCATATTTACTGTTGCTATAATTAAACTGAGCCTTTTAATAATGAGTGTGTGTTGTAGGTTCAAATTGAGGTCATGCAGAAGAGACAGAAGGAGAAGAAGGCCATGTTGTCATCTGTGAAGAAATATCAGAAAGGTACACAACACGTCTCCATTTCCAAGAGATATGTCCGGCATTACCGCTGTTTTGTTTTGCGCTTCTAGGAATGACGGACAAACTGGAGTTCTTGGAAGGAGACAAGAAAGCAGGCAAAGATTCTCAGGGCCCCAAGAAAGAAATGAACAAAAAAGGGTGAGATTATCAAGGACGTATTATGGAGCATATTATAGAATTCGAAAGGGTCAATTGCACTAACATGTGACAATAATCCAGGCCCAATTCAAAGAGGAAATTCAAAGACCAGAAGTTTGGCTTTGGCGGAAAGAAGAGCGGGACCAAGTGGAACACAAAGGACAGCTTCAATGATGTGTCTGGTTTTCGGGCTAAAGTGGCCAACGCCAAGGGCCCCAGAGGCGGCAAGAAAGGAAAAGGATTCAAACAGAATGTGAGTATTTTCTAAACATTTGTCATGGTTTTAGTTAAAAAAAATGAAAATTACAGATGGTAGTGACATAAAAAGTTCAGACAGTTTAATCCAAAACACAAACATGTTCCTCATTTTAAAGGACATGTTCTCAGGAAAATGATCAAAAAATGTGTTTTACTCATTAAAAAAGAGAAAATAACTCCACATTCAGAGAAAATAGTACTTTATTTAAAATCATAATACCAAAATGTAATCCATTAAAATAATATACAAATTATGAGCCAAAAAGAAACTAAATCTATCTTGTTCACATTTTCCTCATCGTCATTATTTATTATTATAAATCTTTTCTATCAATATCTAAAAACACATTAGTAGTAACCATTAGAACCAACCACGTTATTTGCAGTCGTTCAATACAAAACAGAAAAAACCCTGTCTTAAATTAGTCTACCATCAAAGCTCGAATATGAAGCAGTAGTGTTACTTGGCATCCAAAATGTAATTTTGAGTAAATAATGCAGATTTCCACTATCGATCATTTACTGAACATTATTTTGGTTTTGTCTCTTACAGACTTTGGCAAATTTGCGGCCTGTGGGTCACGTATGGGCCCACAGGGATGCATGATACTTGTCCAAAATGTATACATTTATTAAAACATTGAATTTATATACATACAAATATACTATAAACTGAAATAAATTGTGGGATATTTCTCTGCATTCTGAAGATGTTAACCGGGTGCTTACTCTTTTTCCAAATTAAAATTCCAGACTTTTTTCAAACTGATGATTTTTCTCCCAAGACCTTAACTATACCTGTATACTTGTGTGCCTACTGCCGACTTCATTGGTTGAGATTGTATCAACTGTGTTTATTAGAAATGTTATTTTTTTTAACCATACATTTTTTTCCCATACTTTAAGACTTTCACACAAAAGACAAGAATTTTCAAGACTTGTGCAATCAGCCTGTATATAAGGCCAAATATTGACTGGCATTATCGGTCATCAGTATCGGCTCAAACAAAATGGGTGTAAATTAAATCATTGTGCATTCCCAATATAAATGTTTTGTTACATTTCTTACCCGCTGTGACGGCTTATACAGCCCTCCACAATAATCCAAAACTATTTACTCACTCCTAGTAGCGCAGGATTCCAGTGTATAGTGGAACTGATCTGGTCATGGGATGACAGTGGCTCAGTTGGTAGAGCATTGGCCTTTGGGCCCAAAGGTCGTGGGTTCGAGCCCACCACGGGACCTTCTCCACCGACTCCCACTGATGCCTGCTGTTGTTGTGTCCTTGGGCAAGACACTTAACCCACTTAGCCTATAAGGAGCGCGGATATGATGTTCGCTGCATGCCTTGATGTGTATGCATCAAACTGAAATTTCCCCATTGTGGGACGAATAAAGGACCTTCTTCTCATCAAAACCCACGTCTGACCTGGAAACATGGTTTAGGTCGAGTCCACTGTGTCTAATGCTTTATCCTGTTTTCTTCTCCCAGAAACGCCCCGGCAAGTCGGTCCGCAGGAAGATGAAGAACAAGTCGTGAGGGCTGTGAGCACTGACATGGACTTTATTTTTTATGCACCGGTTTCAAATGGCCTCCGACGAACACAAAACTTCTTTCTCCATACAAAACTCAAAAGAATCCAGTGAATCAGGACTTCCACTGAAGTCTGTGAGAAGGATATTTACAAACCCAATTCTCAAGTCTTTCATACAAACAGGCCGCTGCTGTGCAAATGGATCATAATACTCACTAGTTTTTGGAATTAGTAAAGACCAAGCAAATACTTCTGTTTATTTTGTGAGATAATATACTGTTGAGTAATAAAAATACTGATGCTGTTGATTTTACTGAAGTCCTCATGTTATTTTATTTTCTCTCCTTTTCGAAGAGCCATCTCTTTGTGTTTGGTGACGTCCGTGCCAATGCGGGTGAAATTGAGTCTGCGGTCACTGCGGTCAAAATGTACCTGAAAAGCATTCGGCGGTCAAACAATATGAACATTTATATAGATATTAATAGTAAATGTTTCACAGACGAACCAAGGGAGTTGATATCCAGCCAATCTCCATGCTCTCCGTCTGAGGCATGCTGTACTTGCTGGTTGGTTCCTTACACGTCTGATGGAACGCTTTCAGAAAATCAACTGGAAAATATAAAGGCATCAAAACTAGGACCATAGATTGTAAATACTGGTGGTATTAGGAGTCAAGTCTAGAAAGAATATGTTTTAAGATGTAACAATTGGGGTGGGTTGAAAAGTCGTTACTAAAATAATGGCAGGTAGTCGTTCATTCATAATGTAAATGGTCAGAACAAATTCAGTCTTTCTGTTTTAGCCGATTACTTCCCACCGTCTTTAGTTAAAACCCTCCACATGTAAATACTGTACAGATATCTTGAGTTTGCCTTTGGGAATCAAAATACCCAACAAACTATAGGCATTTCTATATTTTCTGATTAGCATGGGGCCTACAGTAAGCCTGTACTTGCACTGCACTAGTTGTACTCAAGTATTAGCCACATCTTAAAAAATCTATTTCAAATGTAGCTGGTGAAATGGTTAAATTGTTAAGTGATGATGACAAGAATAAATTATTGTATTTTTAATGGGTTTAAGATTCTTATATATTGAGTAAATAACTTACCGTTCTCTGTGACAACTTCTGAGGGTTTTCTGGCCATGGGTTTGTCTGGCAGGACATGGACTGTGGAAAGAAGAGTGGGTTTGAGTCCAACCAGTTACTAGATATGAGAGATGATACTAGATGAATGAGCCCTAGCTAAATGTACGCTTTTTCCCTTCATCATTGTGATATAAGACCAGGCCACGGTATTGGACTGTATTTTAATATGCAAGTTATATTATTGTTTTGTCAATTATTACAGATGAAAAGTAGCTGGTGCTAAATCTGGTGCAGCCATATTTTTTAATGCATCTGCAACATTGTCGTTAATAAATTAAACCTTAGAAGTGTTAGATGATAAGACCCTTTTCCAGCAGACCCACTGTGCAGAGTGACGTGCAGTGTCAAAGCTGCAGAAACTGTCCGTGATCAGACCATATAAACATTCATACTCACGCTTCATTCGTGGATTCAGACTGAACTCTGTGAATAACCTCCGGTCCTTGCGCTCTTTCTTAATTGTCTCAATTTGGATTTTGTCCTGTTGAACCATATCTTTAGTCTCTTTTTTACTTTTGGTCTGCTCCATGTTAAGGCTTGACCATAGGCTGTGACCTGCAGGCGCCACAGACGGTTACCAATAGCAACAGTCAACACTGCTCAGAGCTGCAGTTACACTTAAAGACCACAGAGCGGCGCTATGAGACCGACTGATACGGTAAAGACTTGCGAATTTAGTTTTAGTCAATTATAATACATGTTGATACGTTAATCATTTCATATTTCTTTGTAATTGCTCTGTATAACGTGGTAGAATATAACAGCCCTACATTCCAGTTTATTTCAAGTAATAGATTGGTGTTTATATTTGGATAAATATGAAGCATTACATCAACGGCATGCTTGGGTTTATTGTTACACATTGTACAGCATAGGCCTATTAGACAAATGCAATAACTGGTATTCTGTAAATTATATATTTTCTTGGCTCCTTGCCTTCTTGGTATTGTTGTATAGTCTGTTAATCATTCATAATCTCTGAAATACAAAACCACTCTGTGATTATTTATACTTTAAAGTATAACTGTATATTCTCTGTAAAATATAAATCATTTTGATGGTCCAAAAGGATTTGCATGTTGGGCTACTGTGCAGATACAATTGGCCATCTGCAACTGACTTAAGTGTACATCACCTAACCAAGATTCTCATTATTTATTTATTTTTCATTCAGGAAAGATATGAATATACTGTAGCTTGAATATAAAGCCAAACATTGTCTTGGGGCCCAACTGGAGGAGTGCCTCTTCCACAAGCACAAGTTAGGTTTATAGAGATCGAAGTTTGCACTAACTAATTGGGTGAATCTATCTAAATTGGTCCAACTTTGGTTAAATTAGCTGAAATGGGAGAAAAGTAAGTTTAGAACTAAATTTCAGAAAAGTCCTTAACTAACTCTGCCCACTGTCATCAAACATGCTCTGACACTGCCTTCGCTCAAGAGTAAACCGTGTTAGCGTATGTATTTATTTGACTGGCACAGTGCATGGTAATGAACAGACATGAATGGACACATAAATGGAAACACACCAGATTGTTACCACAACCTCATTTCTATTGGTTGTCTCCCAGAGGGTCGTGGGTCACAATACATTCTATCAGACAGTCCACATGCTGACACGCAAGCATGCACACACAGCGTTACCACAAACAATCTTTAAATATGATTGCACATAATAGCGCTAACCCCGCCACTAATTGCACATACCTCAACAATTGATACCTTTCATACAAAAGATACCTCAATATTGACCTCCACCTGTTCAGATTCAGATTCATTTTTTTTGCCATTGCAGTAAAACCACATTGGAACGCAAATGCAAAAGTTCCCAGTGTGCACAAACAAGTACATAAACTATTTTTTCACATAACCTGTTTTATTGCACTCAACCCATATGCATATGAGTGGAAACAGGTTGAATTTGAGAAAATCCAATGTTTCATTTGTTAAAGGAGCCATAAACAGGAGCCAACTAAAGACTTGCTTCTCCTTAGATCATGTTTGTATTTGTATCATTCCTTATAGTTTTGTTGCACTGTTTTTGAGTCTAAAACTGAATCCATTTTACAGCTCAAAAATGAGTGTAAAATTGTGGAATGATGTTAAGCCTTATAGTGTCATGGGGCCTACTTTATGGAGGGGACCATGACATTTGCAGCTTTAATAGCTGAGCAAACATTCATCATGCACATGTCCTACGGAACAAAACCAGGGTATTTGTACACTACTTTACTTTGCACCTGCAATATAGAAGCTTGCGGGATATAGGAGGCCTGTGGTGTCGACATTACTTACCTACAGCAGGTTATTTCCAAGCCCCGGTGATCCAAGATGGCGCCCTATTCAAATGAATGGCTTGTGCTCAGTAGCGCATGGGACTTTACGGGCGCTGACATATCAGAGGAACTAGGCTATATTTGGGCATCATCTGGTCCTCCTGGTTCTGCGCAGTGGACGAGCTCCCATGATGCGTTGTGCCAAATACGCGTGAGTGGGTCTCATGCACGTGCACAGAGGGGCTCGGCCGCGCTTTGACCAATCAGAGCTGCTGATTAGAGCAGTGGTAGAGTAGAGTCAGAGCGGGAAGGAAAAGAGCAGAGTTTGTGGCAGTAAAGTGTAGATTTAAAGAAAACCGAAGGATTTAAGAAGAAAAAAAAGTTCAGGATGACAAGGGACACTAAAATCCCAACAAAATCCGATCTTTGAAAGCTGTAGGTTCTCTGTCAGCTGAGATTGTGCTATTTTTATTTAAATTGAGTTCTATGGGACTTTGTTCTGGGTAGCCCTCGTGAATTTATTCTGGAGTACCACGGGCGCCCCCTGTGCCGGTGGGTGGGACAGCTGTAAGCTAGTAATACCGTATCCAGTTATTATTATAGATCCATGGTTATCTTTCATCTTATAAACACACAGCTCTCTAGCTCAGTGTTTTTCAACCAGTGTGCCGTCGCACGTTGGTGTGCCTTGAGACGTTTATTAGTGTGCCTTGGAAATGATCCAAATTCATCTGCTTGGCCAAAATCATGTGAAAAGATAATGAGATGATTAGAAAGACTTTTTTGTGCTTGTTTGATTTTCTACATAATACATATGGGTGAGAATTACTTTTCTTTGCTGATAAAGGCTGTAGAGTTTAAATTTAGCATCAGTTTCAGCTGGGGGTGTGTCATGAGATTGTTCACAATGACAAAGGTGTGCCATGACTCAAAAAGGTTGGGGAACACTGCTCTAGCTTTTCTGAAGCATCAATCACAAATCTCGACTTTACTAAACTTTACTTTTACATGGGGTTTCTCTGGGTGTCTGTAAAATTGGTCCAAACGTAATCTAGAATTGAAATAGTTGTCAAATAATGTAGTAATTTATTCGCAATCTTTTTAAACTTTACTTAGACATGCTATGGAGAGGCTTCATGACTAAGACTATTCTATGATTACTGAAAAATCTTATTCAAATCAAAAAACGTGTAATGAGTTGTCTTTATGAAGAAGTTCTCCAGGTCACTTGAGTTTGTTTGGATCAAATGTATAAAAAAATCCCATATTCACAAACATTTTGGGCAACAGCACTTGGTTAATTGAAAGATAATTTGTCAAGAAAAGAGTTAATTACAGCTTGGATAGACCCACCTAACCTTCAAGTAATCTGTTGTGTTTTTGGCCTCTGTCACATCTTTAGATCCACTTTTTCAGACAAAAATTTGAAAAACAATCATAACCTCAGTCCAATGCAGGCCCTCAGTTCAATGCAGGCCATTTTTCTTCTTAAAAGTATGCACAAGATCTATACAATGTCCTTCAGAATTCTCCCCAACAATGAGGTAGCTTCATAACCCTCCTGGCTTCTAACCCAATTCTCTTTTATTGCGCCATGAGCTGTGACAATAACCGGTCATAATTCAGACGCGTCCAATAGATAGGACTGGGAAAGCCCGTGATGAAAGGTCCCTTGCCCCTGTCACCACTGTCTCATCCAGTTACCATCAAGTCCATTTTGAAGGTCCCTATAGGCTGTATAGTCACAGGGCCAATTCACAAAGTTTGCCTCTGCTGCCTTTACAGATGCTGAATGGATATGACAAGTTGACTTCTCCTCATTGCTAACAAAGGTGTTTGGATGTTAAAAGGATAAATGCTGTAATCCCTGAGAGGAAGGAAGCGTTTTTGTTTGACTTAATTTGACTGAGGCGACATTAATGACGACTGGAGGTGTGATTGTGATTAAACACATGTCAAAGTAATTGTTATGACACGACATCAGAGAGATGTCCCAGACAGAGCAGCACAGCAGGACACTTTTGTTTCACATTTTTATTGGAGTCATGTCGGTGTAAATTATGTAGTCTTTCAAAACTACATCAGTCAATATGGCATGATTTGTCCCTTATTTGCAAATAGCAAAGAAGAAAGAGCTCAGAAAAGACAGTTTATTAGTAAATTAAGAGAAAACAAAATGTATTGAAATATCAGTGTCTTTAAAGTGATAGTATGTAACTCTAAATTACAGTAATTACACATTTTAAGAATTGTAGTAAATTGACCTCCTGGTATCCTAATTGACCTAATACGGTATCTATTCATTCATTCCATTCATGGTGGTACGGTCAGCTGCTAACTGGGGATATTTTTGGCAATACAAATTGTATGCCATGTGCAAAATCCAAATACCTACGCAAAGTAAAAAATAAATGTGTCATGGTTATAAGGTACTATTATATAAAAGTTTGTCATCCAAAGACTACACTGAAAACAAGATACATACATTTTTTCTTGAAGTATAGCAGTTTCCATTGATGTACAGTAAGTGTATTTTGTTCCTTTTATGGATTTTTTTGCCGAACCCGTTGCATTAGACCCCCTCATGTGCCAACGCTCGTCTTCAGGATCAAATCAAATCTTTTCAGCAGAGAAAAAAACAAAGAATAATAAGAAACCTTCAGGGCTTTGCTCTGTCTGTACACGGCTTAGTACTGACAGAACACACAAAATAAACTTCAGTCCACTTTTAGGAATGCGGAAAGGTTTATTTAATGACAGAAAATAAAATAGTTCTCAACTACTTTCCTGTAGCTATGCGAGCAACAGTTAGGCTGGCAACTTCCAAACTAGAACTCTCTCGAACTGCATGAAAACTGAACAAAGAATTCTGAACATCAGCGGTGAGTGACCCAAACATAAACTCAACCTAAATAATTTGATCCTCTGCAAATGTTCCTAAAATGTCCCGGAATCTACTTCCGGGTTTTCCACGATCACTTTTTATCGCATTAAAATAGTATTTTTGTCATGAACACCTTAACAGATACTTCTGAAAACCTCCGTGCATGTGTGTTAAGAATGTACAGTGTATGTATAATGTATTCTCCGATTAACATTTAAGTGTGTTGATTGATTGGTATTTGCGTTTATTGAGCGTGGCTAGCTCCTGAGTGGCCGGAACAACTTGCGGAGTAATCTACACATCTGAATTACAAGGACAGAGTGCGTTGCCATGAGCAGCTGTCATTGTTTTGAGAGGTCAGTTATCAA